AACATTTTCTTTATCGTGCCAACGTTTCGATCTTTATTGAGATCATCTTCAGGGCTCAAAGTGTTTGTCTTCTGTGTAATTGTGTCATTCTTGCGTGTCGTGTTAAGAGTGCCTACACGAACGCAAGAATGGCACAAGTACACAGAAGACAAACACTTTGAGCCCTGAAGATGATCTCAATAAAGATCGAAACGTTGGCACGATAAAGAAAATGTTTTTTTGAAACCTATATCACACCAGACCTCATCTCACGATCTCCAAATAATCATTAACTAACGGTCACCAATCACCACACATTTATGAAATAAAGCCGTGACAGATTGAAGTAGCATGAAAATTAGATTTTGGGCAATAGGGACTTTTTAATCTAATACACCCTGTATATGAGAAGAGGGTAGGAAACGAACTCCAAAAACAAATCAATTGGATGAAGAATAAACATTCCGGCCACACAACAATATCAAATAAAACCAGACACCTATTCCTGGAAATGGTAACTGATTTATGATCCACAAAACCTGTCATGTAGTTTGAACAGAAAATCAAATACAAATATTTTGCGTGCAAACAAACAATTCCAAAACCAATGAAGGAATGAGGTCAGGTATATTCCTTCCAATTCCAAAATACCAGCAATAAAACTAATTACGTAAGTTTAAGTACTTCCGTCTATCAAGCTGAATACTTTATTGTGCCATAGAAAATGGCAACATAAAAACCGTACCGATACGAGCTTCTTAGCATCCTTCTCATCGTCACGTTTTATAAGATTGTCTAAAAACTTGTGCAATGTAAAACATGTAAAAAAACTTACTAAAGATATGTCAAATAGACCATTTATTCATTTATTTCTACTTAATTGCAGCCAGTCATTTTTCGAACAAACTACTTACAAATCATGTTATAAAGGGTGTCAATATTCTTGTGTCACCCCAGTTTTTTAAAAAAACTAGTCAACCTAAAAAAACTTAAACAGTATTTTTTGACACTACTTCTATATTTTAGTAGGTTCAGTTTTGAACTTGGTGGAAGGTCTGGGTCATTTCAGGTTGAGTAGGGGAGGAGGACCATTGTACTTAAGTAAACAGTAAGTTTGTCGTGGAAACTCTCTAGCCGGGATTGGTTGAGTTCTTTTTTAAAATGAATATCAAATTATTTATGATGTTTGATTCTAGAGGTAGAAGGACAATAGAAATGAAGCAAAGCAGTTTTTATTATAAGGTTGTGTTTTTTTAGGTTAGACTGCCTGGAAGTATACCAGAGGTTATGTCTACAAGTCTATTATCAGTTCGATTTTTGTCTTATTTTTAACTTTTCGAGTAAATTTATATTTTCCTTATAGTAGTCAGTTATGTGCGGTACTTTTAAGAAGGTAAATAAGCACGTATTGTATTCTAGTTATCGTACATTTATTATTTAACATTTTCATTACTATATAATTTAAATATGTAAAATATATATTTTTATATATATATATATATATATATATATACTGGTTTTTCTTTTGATAAGTGACAAGATCTCATTGTCAATGTTATTTCATCCTTCTTGGCTTGTTTAGGGAATTTCTGGTTTAGGGAAGACCAATTAGATTGGATTAAACCGTTTTACATTTACTGTTGAACTTTTGTAATCGGGTAGAGCGAGATCTTTTTCAACAGGAATATCAAAGTCTAAACGAAGAGTTTGATTAAAGGCATAGAAAGGAGCATTGCAAAGGACTTTAAACTGAAATGTTGGAATTCGGTTTAAGTTCTATTGCTTAGTAGAACCCCAGAGTTCAAGCCCGTAACTCCTTTAGGTCTGATCAGGCTTGTAAATGGTAAGTTTAGATTCAAGCTAAAATTTATTTGGCCTTACTAGTAGTAAAACATCAAATATGTTTAAACTATATAAAATGTATTATATTTAGTGGTCTGGTCGACCAAATTACTTCTTTCAATTAATTAATCTTTTTATGTAAAATTTTGGTTGAAACTAACTTTTTCATTTTAACCAAAATTTACATAAAAAGTTTCATTAATTGAAAGAAGTAATTTAATCCATCCAACAGATATCTGGGAATATTAATTATATACCAGGGTATGCGCTGTATGGTGGGTTTTATGTTGGCTGAGAGGCGTCCTTTCATTAGATGTCTGTTCGTACTGATTATACCAATTTCTTGTATTTGTTTCATATCTTGAAATTATATGTGACTATAATGTTTGATTTATACCCATTCTGTGCTGCTTCTTTCGCGAGTAGATCTACTTCATTGTTCTTCATTGTCAAATATATGCACATCCAGATGAAGTGGAATTTGACGTTAATTTTTAGCTTTTCTATTCTAAATAGTATATCCATAATTTTGTCTAGAAGGTTAGGGGGTTCTTGATTGCTATTAGAACAGAAGAAAACCATTTGAAAAGAAAGTATTGAAAACTGGTTTGACCCCTCGTTCACGATACTCCACAAGTAGGTCAAGAATTTTTTAAAAATACGAAGAATTTCCATCAATTAATTTTTTTATGTAAGGTTTTGGTCGAAATGAAAAAGCTAGCGCCATGAGCGGGATTCGAACCCATGACCTTCGGCTCAATACGCCGCTGATCTATCACTTGAGCTATCGTGACTTCGATCCACTCGGACACCAACTCCACATCTCGACCTACAACCTTTCGCATTTTCCCTCTTTTTGCCATTTTTGAATTAGTGTCGAAGGTCGTGGGTTCGAATCCCGCTCATGACGCTAGCTTTTTCATTTCGACCAAAACCTTACATAAAAAGATTAGTGAATTGAAAGAAGTAATTGGGTCAATATAATGGATTTAATAAGTAAACGAAGTAGTCACTAACAGCTCACCGTGGCCACTTCATATACCGCCGAGAATCGAATCCTGATGACACGACATTTGAAAAATGGCAAAAAGGAGGGAAAATTCAAAAGGTTGTAGGTTGAGATGGGTAGTTGGTGTCTGAGTGGATCGAAGTCACGATAACTGAAGTGGTAAGAGCAGCAGCGTATTTGGCAAAGTTCGTGGGTTCGAATCCCGCTTGTGACATTGTATAAAATATACTTACTTATATGCATTTTTAATTAAAATTTAATAAATAATGATGAACTCGCAGTATTTTCTGTTTTTTAAGTTAATTTAATTTAATTTTAACTATTAATATTAAAAATGTACATTTGTTTTAATTGATTATAAAATGTCAAAAAATCAATAACTTCAAGGACTGGGATTACTATAGTTACCAATAGGCTACATATTTTTTTTTTAGCAAAATACCTTTGCAGATTTCAATAATTTAACATGAAGGTCCTGCATGATCTTTTTTAAACTCTTTTCGTATAAAGGGTTAAATATAGTTGGGTAATAAAGGTTTAATTGCTCACCTGATACAGGATGAACCACCTGAGTTGCCATTTGTTCGTATCTGAGGTCCGTTTGTTGAGGTAGCCAGAGTAGGAATGGTCGTTATGGGCGCGATCGGAGAGCATTGCAAGCTGCGACTCATGCACCCTGATCGTCCTTTGCATCTTTGGGCTAAACATTGTTGCTTTGCCGCCGCCGCCACCCTCCCCTCACCGAACTGAAACAAAAAGGCTTAATTAATTACAAACGAACATCCACGGTCGGTATATCCTCGCGGTCAGACCGGAAGAAGTGTGTTTTTGCTAGTTCAGTTCGTTCCAACCATCCGACCTCCTCGACTTCAGAAATTGTACAAAAACTGGTATTTCATTAAGATATAAAATCATTCCAACATTACGTCTAAAACTTCATGTTAATCCATCTATAAATGTATAGATTTTCTTCAAAAAAGTAAGTTTTTGTAAGAAAAAGGTCAATATTTTGAAATGACCATATGCTTAACGAAATGACTTATTTTTTAAAATCCAGTAAAACCTTCTAATTACAATGAAAAGACCGAAAGAAAAAATTAAAAGCTGATTGCATAATACTTACTCCAGGATTAAAGGTTTCTTGACAAGACCTTTTTTATCGTTTCTAAAGAGGAATGGAATAAATTTAATACTATATTCGTTTAAAATAAATTCACCTGATGCCGAGATATCGATTTCCGCCAGTCAGATTCATTTAGCCGTAGCAATAACGGCAAAACGCCATGACCTATGTTGGTTCCTCTTACTAATGGGAATTACACAATTTTGGCAGAAGTTAGAACAATTAACGGTCTAACTTTCCATGAGAGAAATTGTTGCTAGGCCTTTCTGTCCGTTACTAAATTTCACGAAATTGGGAGTTTGATGAGACCGAACACCTCTAATTACTGGTTGAATTTCCCTCATAGGGAAAATAATTAATATACTTAAACCTCTATAAGCTAATTGCTAACAATGGCGTTAGCAAAAATAAAAATGAACGTTTCTTCTTGTATCAAAGGTGATCGTTTAAAAGTCGTTCAAGTTCAAAAGTCAAACATGGGGTTATTTAAACAGTCAGCAGGCACTGTCAGTTGGTTAAACATGCAAAATAACTTTTCTTTTTATGTAAGATCTTGGTTGAAATGAAAAAGTCAGTGTCACGATCGGGATTCGAACCTACGACCTTCGGTTCAATACGCCGCTGCTCTAACCACTTGAGCTATCGAGACACAGAGGTCATGGGTTCGAAACCCGTTCGTGACACTAACTTTTTCATCTCAACCAAGACCTTGCATAAAAAGAACAATTAATTGAAAAAAAGTAATCAGGTCAATTAGACCGCTAAACATAAATGGATTAATATGAAAAATAACTTCTTTCAATTAATTAATCTTTATGTAAGGCATTGGTTTGAAAAATGTCAAAAAGGAGGGAAAATTCGAAACGTAGGTCGAGATGGGAAGTTGGTGTCCGAGTGGATCGAAGTCACGATAGCTCAAGTGGTAGAGCAGCGGTGTATCGAACCGAAGGTCGGGGTTCGAATCCCGATCGTGACATTGACTTTTTCATTTCAACCTTACATAAAGATTAATTAATTGAAACAAGTTATTTGGTCAATCGGGCCACGAAAATATAATGGATGAAAAATAACGTTGACGAAATCGACATCTCTCTACGAAAAATGGAGAAAAGATTTCAATTTTTAGATTCAATTTGTATAGAGTATTTGTTTTACACCAGCTTTGTTTGAACGCTATGTTGTTAATTGAAAAGCATCCCCACAATAAAATAGAATTAAATTCGATAGTCAACAAGAAATTTCCTCTGGGAGAGAACTTGTGAGACCTTTATTTGTAGCAACACCGTCGGCTTTCCGTGCCGTAACTTTCCACGTTTCATTTCTTATATGTATACGTATTACATACATTCTCTATGCAAGAAGTAAAATTGTAAAAATCATAAATGTCAAATTGCTTTTTTTTTACAAACCACCCGCTGATGAGATATCAGTATACATATTGATTTTACAGTAAATTAACCCTTTAAATGCTGACATAAACTAACCGCGGTAAATAACAGGTTAATTATATGAAACGCTAAACGGAAACCTTTATCTGCGTTCGCCAGAGGATCAGCATGAATTTATGGGACGTAACTCACATCTATGTCCCTGATATCATTGAATATTTTGTTTTCCCGTCGTTATTCACCTAAAGGGTGTAACGTTGGGTCAAAATTAACCTTAAACTCTGTTTAAACGGGTTTTAGATCAAAATGTAACCTGCGGCTTTGGTACTTTATGTTCGCGTTACATCTAAGCATTTTGAACGATTCATTTTAATTGTTTGTACTAATATCACAGTATTCGACTCTATTGTTTACATGAAACATAAGCCTTTGGGTAATTATCAATATATTCAATTGCATTTACTGTTAAAACCATAAAATAAAACCATAATTTAAAAAATCTAATTTCCCGATTTGAAAAAGAAATGCGGAACACATGAAAAATATGTAAATATATGTTTTTATTAATTTATTATTTATTATATTTTTTGTTTTATTCACAACCACCAATCTTTCTTCTAATGTTGAAAGGAAACATAAACCACCGGTTAATTATCAATATCTTCCATTACAATTACTGATTAAATCATGAAAACGGCCACTAACTTTTGTACTCTTTTTTTCTAAATATTACAAATGTTCCATGTAAGCTGGTGGTATAATGAAATTTAATTGTTGGTACTAATATTACAGTATTCGATTCTATTGTTTACATTAAAGATAAGCCTTTGGGTAATTATCAATATATTCAATTGCATATACTGTTGAAACCATAAAATAAAACCATAATTTAAAAAAAATCTAATTTACCCGATTTGAAATGGGAATGCGGAACACATGAAAAAAATGTAAATAGATGTTTTTATTAATTTATTATATTTTTTATGTTTTATTCACAACCACAAATTTTTCTTCTAATGTTGAAATGAAACATAAACCTCCGGTGAATTATCAATATCTTTCATTACATTTACTGGTTAAATCATAAAAAGGCCACTAACTCTTGTTCTCCTTTTTTGGGTCCCATTTTTTCTATATATACAAACGTTACATCTAAGCTGTTAATGAAATTTAATTGTCTGTACTAATATTACCATCTTCCCTTATAATGTTTACGACTAACGAATACCTCATCATTGTCTTCAGTTAAATTGACTGTATTAAATTAAAATTACAATAAAAAATTAGATTAATTTTCCCAGTTAGAATGGAAATACTGAACAGATGAAAAATTTTGAAAGATATAAAAACTAACTTACTTTACTTCAAATTCTGATGGAAAACATAATTTCTTCAGAACGAATCGATGAATTTTGTTTATAATTTTTTTCACAAATAGTAAAAGTCTTTTCCGTTTTTATAATAACGTTACCAGAAATTCAAAAAAGTTCATTCGTTCTTGAAATATTTAAGCTTTCTTTCAGAACTCGGTAATATCAATTGTTTCGTCTCACTAATAGTTGTTCTTTAAAAAGTTTTAAAAAAATTTCTTTTTTTAACCAGTTACACGAACGAAACGTATATTTCTGAAAGAAAACCAACATTTCCAGAATAAATCGATGAATTTGTTTAACTTATTGTATCATTTTTTAGAATGGAAAAAAGTTTCAAAATATACGAAAAAAATAGGGCATTATATTTTTTTTAAAAAGCCGATCACCAGGTCGGCTTAACTGTCAACGTATTAAAATTATAATAGTACCGACTAGTAAGTTAATAGCAGATTCTATGTGAAAAAATACCTTTGAATCGCTTAGTTTTACAATAAAATTAAAAGGACGTGTCTTTTATAAAAACTCACACGGTATATAATATTTACAGTTTGAAATATTCTAATGTATATTTTCTCTTTTTATTGCAGAGTCCTTGTTAATGTTAATGGGATGTTTGGTGACAGTGTCAAAACCTTCTAGAATTAAAAAATAATACCGACTGAGATACGTTCCAAAAATGAAACATCCTGTTAACATTCAAATATCTTTTTTGTTTAAAATGGCGCATGTATCGACTACTTTTTGGATACTGACTAATCTGGATCTCGATATAGTCAGGTAAAATGAAAAATAAAATTCATAATTTGTTATTAATACAGAACCTGGTGACGGCCTTAAAAACAGGTCGAATAAATGGCTACAAATGAATTTGTTTTCCATTTACTTGACCATATCGAGATTTTTTAAAAATTTAACACATGAAAATTAATAAAGAACACATTTGAAAAAGCTTTTAACATTTATCAAAAGTTCATTTGTTGATTTAACAGGCCACACCAAAATTTAAAATATAATTGTATTTCTTCGGCCTTCACAGTTTCCAAATGTCTTTTCATCGTAGGACCGTTCCATTTGCATATTTTTAATTATAAGATTATAACTCGGGATAGCTTGAGATGTGGAGGCTAACTTTGTTTTAAAAAACCAACTGCGCATTTTTCCTCAAATGAAAAATAAACGAAATTTGTGAAAATGTTTTTAAATTGAGCTTTAAAAAAGCTTGGAACGCATTGTAATGAAACATAATGGGCGATAAAAAGCGAGACACAAATCATGATCAACGCAAAGAATGGTGATTCTGATGAACAGTAATGGATAATTTCAACGTTGCTTCTATAATATACAATTATAATCAAAATATTATTCAAAAACACTTGTCTTGAATCTTTATTTATACCGGGAATTGCAAATTTAGGAAAAGTGGACGATTTGTATAAGTCAATGATAAACAAATCACTTGTGCGACGTAATTGAAAAAAAAAATCGAACGATTTTCAATTTTCTATCAATTGATTAGACATGATCTTGATTGACTTCGTCTCTGCGAAAACTGACAACGGTGAATTATGACGTTGACATTTAAAACGGTTGTGGGCATAAAGTCGCATACTTTCATACGGGAAAAATGAATTTTGAAAAATATGTCAGTTGGATTTTTATTTGGTTGCATTTTAAGGTAAATTAAGAATTCGCGTTATTCTTAAATGATAATAAATTTTGAACAATGTTAATTAAAATTAACAAATTTTTAAATAAATTTGTCTTCTTGAATAGAAAGATTCTTGCACCAAAAGTTATTTTGGCCGTTTAATTTATTTTTAATTGATATAACCATCCTTACATTTTATATTGAAAATATCACCCTTCGGACATTGTTTTATTTTTTTACTACCAGCACAAAAATTGACAGGTAGGTCGAATTGACTAAAAAGGCTTTTACAAAGTCTTCATCACAAAGTATAAAAATTGAAATAAAGTAAAATCCTCCTGCTCCCCATTTTGACTGCGGGTCAATAAATGCCGAATAAATGTTGCATTGTCCAAAATTTAGCTGGGGCTTTGCAGTGAGGGTTGTGCGTCTGCGCGATTTTGCGGAAATCACAAATTGCCAATTTGCGGCGTACATTGCGTTTAAAAAAAGTGGCCCACTAAGAAAGAAAATTTGGTTTTGCCAATTTTTCAGTGGATTACATAACAAAGATGATTTCTTTTTCAGGTAACATTTTGACTAAACTTCAGATATTTTTTTATTGAAAATATGACTTTTCTATTTTTACAGGGTAAACAAAGTCAAATTTTGGAATTTTAGCCAAACACTTATTTTTATTTTTTTATTTTTTTGTAATGTGACCGTTTATATAATATTATATATAGTTATTTATACTATATAGTATATATATAGTTATTAAAAGGTTGGAAATAATTCATCATCAAAAATGCCAAATTCCTATTTCTTAGCAATAACAAAATCCAGTCAATTTACAAAAGTTCCACTCAATTTCTTGAGTTGTTTAACCAACCCTTTCAATTTTGTCACTGTTCTATTTATAATAAGAATAAAGAATGAAAGAAATATGAAAAGATCAAAAGTTTAAAAAAATTAAGAATAAATTATTGAAATGGAAAGGATGAGAAGGAAGAAAGTGAAATCAAAGTAAAGGGATGAAATTTGTCAATTTTATTTTTATTAAAAATTCAATTTCGCCTACCGGCGGAATTCGGAGAATCATGCAGTTATCAAAGGTTCTTGAGATGGTTTACCTGTATAGTCACATCCCCTGAATTAAGGGCATGTTGTGTGAGCGGCGGCTTGCTAAGCACTGTGTTCCACAGGTAGTATACTACCGAAGGCGAACGGCGCATGACCCCTCTCTGAACATGCCCCCTTCCATGCAATCTCCCCGAATAAAAGAGCAAAAGAACAAAAATTAGCCCTCGGAGAACAAAATGTTATTGTTAAATGGAATAATAAGGAAGATTTTGAGGCGAGCCACAATGCCCGTTATCCTTTTGACTCGTAACTCTGATATTACTCGGCCATTAGATGGACAAAATTTATAATTAAAGTCCTTATTTCACAACATGTCAAATGAATTTGGGCGGCTTGTATAATTTTCATGATCGCACTTAAGATTATGAAGATGACCTCGATGATGATGATGAAGGGAAATTAAGAATACTTCACAGATGTTAACAAGTATTAACACAACAGCCTATTTACATTATTTAATCAAAATAAGCAAGATAATCATAAACATTTTTAATAACTTCAACAATTGGATTGTAAAATTAAAGAGGATGAAAAATATTACTGTCGAAATCCAAGCAAAGTATTTACTCCCAAAGAACAAAACTGTATAACCAATAAGTAAATAATAATTAAACACAAAACATGAAGACAGCTTTTGACCAAAGCCATTAGGCACCTACCCAAGAGTGCATCCAAGGAAAGATACCATCGGCACTTCTATGGTTGCTAGTGATAGATGATCTAATCAAACAGCTTTATAGCTTAGGATATCATACCATACCATTCAGTTCGATGAATCTGTCCAATCAGATGAATAACGCCCCAGATTAATAACCCCCTTGGTCAAATATGGAGCTCTAGTATGGTAGCTAAAAACACTGAACGAAGAGACACGAAGCAAACTGCAAATGCTACAAAAACTAGCGGGTTTTAAGATGTCAATGGGGTAATGCATACTTACCACACAACAGTAATGGAAACCGCACTCGATCGTCCACTCCAAACTTATGTAGACAGCAGACTCCTAAGATACAAGGAAATAAATCCAAATGTACAGAGAAGCCATCGCAAAATTCTTAGGCGAATAAGAAGAAGAAGAAGAAAAATAACTTTATTCTGGGACTGGTGTCCCCTAAGAATAATTTACATGAAATAAATAAAGGAAGTTCCTTCTATGAAGTTAAAAGTAAAAAAAAAAGATAGAAATCTTTTCACAATGTATACCAATAAGGCAGGACAGAAGAAAAAATTATATTAAACAAAAATAACAAATGTTAACGTGAGGTCTCTGCTTGGAGGGCGAGGAGGTGATTATACAGGTGGGATTTAAAGGAGGAAAAGGAAGCAGCGTGACGAATAGAAAGAGGAGGGAGTTCCAGAGTTTAGGGGCTCGGATCAGAAAGGATCTTTCGAAGGTATGGGTTGTATGTTGCGGAAGGATAAGGTCGATTGGGGATGAGCGGGTCTTACGAGTGAGATGTGAGGAGTTGAATTGGAGGGATTGGATGATGTAAGGAGGACGACGAGTGTGGATGTACTGGAAAAGAAAGCAACCTAGGAAATACTGTGCACGGAAGGAGGGGAATAGCCGGAAAGTTGGGAATACAACCCCGACACCCGGGATCCCCGTGGGGAAATCTTACGCAACAATTCATAATACGCTTCAATCGCGCGTTCTCCCCCTTCGAAAGACCACCGTATGCCAAACAGCTATAATCGAAGAAGGGAAGTATAAGGGAAGATACAAGGAGTTTGTGGGTGCAGAACGGTAAGAGAAGCCAGGACCGATGAAACAGTCTGAGGGAGGCAATGGAATGGCGGGAAATTTGGGAAATGTGAGAATTCCAGGAAAGGTTTTGGTCAAAGACTACTCCTAGGTTTTTAACCGAAGAGCAGAAGGGGATGGGATGGTTATTTAGCATGAGAGGTGGGATGCTGGGGAGGGAATTGAAGAGTTGCCTGGACCCGATAATTAAGATGGTTAATTAACCCTAACCATCTCTAACCCCCTAGTTAATTAACCCGATAGAATAAGATGGTTATAACGGTTCTTGACAAAATGAGAGGAAAACTCAGCTTTCACATGACCATAAATAACAGATCTTAGGCAGAAGAAGCAGTCCCCAATTTCAAGGCCGCTAATATGGTGCACAGTTGGATCGATGATGGAACCGAGAGTAGTGTAGGGGGTTGTAGGGGTAAAATGAGCTATACCCTAACTTAAGTTCGTACTGGTCCCAACAATCTTCCAAGATGAGGTCCTTGCAATACAACTTTGTGCACAGGTGTTAGTAAAAAAGAATATGAAAGGAGCACAGATTTACAAATTTTAGACAGCTATAAAGGCATTAAAAAGAGTATTATTTTCGCTCCAAACTAATCTAGGAATGCCTTAATTGCCAAATGACGCAAGTAAAACACAGCAAGGTTACTTTAAAGTAGCTTCCTTGACCTGAAGGTAAAGAAGGAAATGAACTGCTGACCAACCAGATAAAGAAAAAGGGGCAGCTCTCTTCTCTTACCCATGGAACCACAACCACAACTATGTGCACCAGAGTGTGTGCTAAAATAGGAACTGAAAAAACAGCTTCAGAAAAAAACCTTAAGCACTGGATAAAAGCACCAGGTACGAAGCAATCCATGAGATCCATAAATCTCTCTACAAGGCGAAGGAACCTCTCTAAAAGCACACTTTCCACGGTATGGTCGTAATCAGAGGTTCTACGATAGACATGGTCGCGGTGGAAAAAAGATTTAAAATTTGACCTTGAATTTTTAATCTTTAAATTATCAGTAAAAATGTACTTACTAATTGGCAGACCATAAAGTGATTCAGATCCTCAATTACTCCCATTCTCCCTTTCTAAATATTACTTTTTCGCATTCAACTTTTTAATAGGATGAAATAAAATAATGAGATCATATATCACTAGAATCCACCATCGAACATAATATTCTGTGATAAAAAATATATCGCTTATGGTACATCTAAATTTGTTGATTTTTGGTGTTTAACGCATTTCGACTTTGCGCCATCTTCAGTGATGAATGTCTTTCTCGTTGACCGTGTAGGTTCTTATACACCGTGGGGCAGTGGTGTCAGTTATTTCCGTTGTCGGTTATTTTATATTTTCTTTGTGTGTTGTTTTTTTTTTTTTTGTTTCAATGATGTCTTCTCTTGAACGTTTCCGTTTTGGGTTATATAGTTTTAGTAGTGTGAAAGTAATGGGTGAATCTTTCCATCTTCGACTGTTTTTATTTGAATATTTCTAAATTCTCCACGTCAATTTTTCGTCTTCTTTCTTCATTGGGTATTAATATCTATTGTTTCTATAGAGTTGATCCTTGATGATGATGTATTTATTAACTGTGCCGCGTAATTTGATTTCCGAACGATGTCAATGAAGGATCTGATTGTGAGTTGTTCTATCTTTTAATTATCTTCCAGTATTCCTCGCCGCATTAACATATAATGCTACAAAGAATTATAATTTAAAAGGTTGACAAATATGAACGACTATTCACAATTTTGAGACCTTTGATTTCAAATAGAATGAAATTATAGCACCAGATCAAACGTGCATTCAATAACAAAAAATATGCCATTTTTTAATGTAAAAAAATAAATTCACTATCATAAATATATTGTATTCTTACATAGTTCTTTTTTAATATACTTTGTACTGCAAAAATTTTAAAAAAGACCTAGTTATTCTGATGACTTAGGTACGTGTGAACTAAAGGTTATTTGGACAGGGCTGTTAGGAGGCTAAAAGTTAAAAAAAAAAAATCTTGCTGTTGAAAGAAACACTCAATTAAAAATATATTTTTATGATTTCCTAATTCAATCTGACACGAGTTCAAAGTCGGTCAGTTTCCCAAGCTGCACGGAATATTAATCAGGTTTATGTTGAAAGTTCTAATGATATAATTATTCCGTTGTTGTTTTAAAAAGTTTTCTCCAGGAGGTGAGGCCAATGTAATTTAACAACCCCTCAGAACTACTTCAGAGTCGGGCAAACTTCTTGAGGAAGCTGTGGAATAAATTCCACTTCAAACCATCAGAGAACATGGACATGTTAAATTAGACCGGTTACACGGTAATAATCGCAAAAGTTAAAAAACTTCATGCGTATATCCCAGATGAGGTGATTAGACATCAGCGTGTGAAACGTCAAAATATTTGTGTATTTCTGCTTGCGTTTTAGGTAAATTACTCATTTCTTGGGCGGATAACATACTGGAAGAAATTGGATCGCGTATGACCATTTTGACTGACCCAGTTTTTTTGTTTTTTTTAACCTAGCAGGGAAACTAATCAACTCAGCGTCGTATTGCCAATACATTGTCAACCTGCATCCAAATTCAAACCACAGCCGGGACTGGCGAACATGAAAGGTCATGTTGCATGACTACGCCCGACCTCATTGTGAATACAACTGAGCAAATTAAAGTAGCTGGGCTACATTCTCCACATCCCTCCCTGTATGTACCATCCAGACTAGCATTTTTTTTAGGAAGTTTGTTTTATGAAAAATCAATGTTTTTTCTTATTTTATCTCATCTCGTTACACAATTCTTTCATATTTGGTATTACATTTAAACATTTGCAAAAGTGCTAGTAATAACTTGTAATACAAATTTATAGTTTATCTTTTTAAGCAAGTAAAGAAAGCATTATTTTTAAATGCGAAAAATAAGCGTTTCATGAATTCTAGGTTTCTTTTTTTAATATTCCTATTTATCCATGGAAATTGGTGGAATCTTTTGGTTCACAGATGTATCTAGAACACAAGAATGTACAGGGGCAGGAGTATTCGGTCCTGGAACTAAATACTCATAACCCATGGGAAAATACTCCAGTATCTTCCAAGCTGAGATTCACGCAATTATACAATACGCAAGAGATGTACTCAACTCAACTTGAATAAAGAGTACAAAAACAAGAGCATAGCTATCATGTAAGATAACCAAACAGCCATCAAAGCACTAAGCTCAAATATCATTAGTTCAAAGATGGTGCTGAACTTCAAAACCAAATTAAACATATTAGGTACGCAGAACAAAGTCAGCCTCTGCTGGGTCCCAGGACACATGGGAGTAGAAGGCAACGAGAAAGCGGACACCCTTGCAAGGAAAAGCTGCTACACCGCTGATAGGACCCGAACCCTTCTGTGGCATAGGAACCCACACAATGAGTATCTCAGACAGAAGGACAAAAAGATAATGAAGGAACAACGGAGTTCACTCATTGGACACAGGCAATCCACGAATCTCCTAACAAATTTCGGAAGAAAAGAAATTACAGATGTGTCAAAGGGAGCAGGCATGAACTGCGAATCCTAATAGGATTCTTAATTTGATTTCTGCAAGCTAAATGGACACTTAAAGAAGATTTGAATAATCCAAGACGGCATATGCAGATTCTGCAAAGTGGCAGACGAGTCACCAACACATCTACTTACAAAAAGCGGTGCTGCACTAGCCCGCAGGAGGAAGTGCTTTGGGATATACAATGTGACCATAGGATTCTTAACAGGACACGGCAAACTAAATGGACACTTAAAGAAGATTTGAATAATCCAAGACGGCACATGCAGATTCTGCAAAGAGGCAGAGGAGACACCAACAGACCTACTAACAAACTGCGTGCTACACGTGCCCGCAGGAGGAAGTGCTTTGGGATATACAATGTGACCATAGGATCTTAACAGGATACTGCAAGCTAAATGGACACAAAGAAAATTGGAATAATCCAAGACCGCATATGCAGATTCTGCAAACAGGCAGGAGACACCAACACACCTACTAACAAACTGCGGTGATACACTTGCCCGCAGGGGGAAGTTCTTTGGGATGTAAATTGTGACCATAGGATCTTAACAGGATACTGCAAGCTAAATGGACACAAATAAAATTTGTAACAATCCACGATGGCCCACGTAGATTCTGTAAGGAGGCAGAAGAGACACCAACACATTTACTAACAAACTGCGGAGTACATTAGCCCGCAGGAGGAAATGTCTTGGGATGCATAATGTGACCATAGAAGAGCTTAAACCACTGAAACCGGGCCTATTAATCAAGTTCCTTCATGAAATATGATTCACCGGTGTGCTTTAGGCAGAGAACGGGGGATACAATAGCTCTTAAAGGGCGCAGTACATAACACCCCAAATCCCCAAATATTACACCTATATCTACATCTACATGGACATTGGTGTTATTTCATGGAAAAACTCCAGTATTTTTTATCTTTATTAAAATGTATGCATTTCGAGCTAATTCTAATAACCCCCTTAAGCTGACGATGTTTCGCTTTACACTCCATGTGAGACATGAATATGAGGTGATTTATTTCAATAACTGTCACAAAGTTAAAGAACAAAAGTTTTGGAAATCTAAAACACCTCTTTCCTTCTGTGACCTGTTATCAAAGATAACGATCCATTTCTTGGCGTCCAAGTGTCTATAGGAAAACAATCTGCCCGGACTTAGTTTACCTTATAAAAGTGGAATCGCCAGAAAGATAATCATTCGATTTGTAAGATTGTCAATGCTGTTCCATAAACATCTTCCTTAAAGACAATCCTATCAACTACAGCATACAAAACCTTTGTAGTTTTCTAAGTCTTTCACCTGAACATGTAAATAAATCAATGGTCAAAATTAAACAAGTTCCATTGAATTTCAACTGCCGAAACGCGTCCTACAGTGTATTCCTTTTTTATGTTTTAAAACAACTTTGTAGATCATCTCAAAACTGATTGATACTATGTATAACATTACTTTCTCTAATTGTACTCTGACGCGATTTACTGTAACTCTTTATGATAAATTATCCATTTTTTATTCTACATAGGTGACAATTTTTCCCATATGATTTTAAGAATAACAATGTGCGTTTATCAAATGGATTTTTCATGGATTTAGCATGCTAGGACCCTGGATTCGGGGGGAGGATACAGCCGGTATGAAAACGTGTTTGATGGGGCCGCTCCTCACCCTTGTATTCACAAGGTCAGTTTACTTTATTCTCGACAACATTCAGACTGTTGATTGATCAAATTTTTATTCCGTATTTTTTTAACGATGTGAAAGAAGCCTTTGGGTTAGGGAGGGGACGGCCCTTTGCAATGGCCACTTTTCGCAATACAATCGCGATTAATTTGGTGAAAAAAATTTCCCTGGAATAAAAATGTGATATAAAAACTCCTACAATCAAAGACATGTATTGAATTTTTCTCCGGACTTTAATTGTACGATATAAATCAACCAAACCTGGCCGAATTCCATTTTACCTAACCATTAGGTCTCCTGGTCAGCGCTGGATATAAAAACATAAATTCATCTATACGTGGTTGCATTTTGAACTTTTCAGATTTTTATTACTGATGATGTGACAAAATTTTGACCATTGATTAGGCTAATAGCCTAGGGTCCATTTCTTGATTGAGAACTTCAGCTCCATAAAAACTTTTTATGACATACTGCCTCACTGTGATTTTATAAATAGACCTCTTATATTATGTATAAAATAAGTATATCAATATATTTAACTTTATCCTTACACTTTTCCTTGATTCATAAAATTGAATTTACAATCCACTTGTATTACTAAATTAGAGCTGTTACTAAAAACTAAAATTCAAAAAGCATTGAATGAAAATTTTGCTTTTTTTAATTATATTTTTTTACCTTTTTTCCTTCTTAAAGATTTTTTTTAAAGTTAAGCATTTTCCAAGAGAACACATGGTGTTTTTTAAAGACAAGTTTTTATTTTGTATTTTCTTTTCTTCTACGTTTCGGGCTGCCTGCCCATCCTATAAAGTCCTTGCAAAAAGTACAGTCAGAGTTATTGTATGTTATAAACATTAGTAATTAATATTAATTTTATCCTTTACATTTTTCTTTTCCTTTTATGGTTAAAAATTTAATTGATAGTTACTTAGCAGTACTGTCTACCCTCTCATATGTTTTTCTTAAAAAGGTTTCCAATTTTCTCGCCTCATTACATTAAAAGAAAAGAAATTTTCAGGATGTCTCCATCCAACAGGCTTTTTAATTAGTAAAAGTAAAATGGAGGTCGTAGTTTTAAGACCTGCTTGTGACATTAATTTTTAATGATTATTTGGAGATCGTGAGATCCTGTCTGGTGTGATGTAGGTTTCAGAAAAACATTTTCCTTATTGTACCAACGTTTCGAATTTTATTGAGATCATCTTCAGAACCTGGGATTTATAAACATTGTTTAAATTTTACAAATAAATGTAGGATGTGAAAAAATTAATTTATACAATGTTAGAAAATGTTAGATAAAAAAAATGAATTTATACAATGCTAGAAAATTTTAGATTTTTTTTAGATTAAAAATGAATTTATACAATGCTAGAAAATTTTAGATTAAAAAAATGAATTTATACAATGCTAGAAAATTTTANAATAATTATTCAGAAATCGTGAGATGCGGTCTGGTGTGATGTAGGTTTCAGAAAAACATTTTCTTTATCGTGCCAACGTTTCGATCTTCATTGAGATCATCTTCAGGGCTCAAAGTGTTTGTCATCTGTGTAATTGTGCAATTCTTTCGTGTGAAGGAATGAATTTATACAATGCTAGAAAATTTTAGATTTAAACAAATGAATTTATACAATGCTGGAAAATTTTAGATTAAGAAAAATGAATTTAAACAATGCGAGAAAATTTTAGATTTAAAAAAATGAATTTATACAATGCTAGAAAATTTTACATTCAATCAAAGTATTTGTTCTCACTCAAAGTGTTTGTGTGCATCTCACGATCTCGAAATAATCATTGACCAACGGTCACTAAACACCACACATTAATTTTTCATCTCAACCACACTTTACAAACAAATTATAAATCAATTTAAATCATTACTTTGTTTAATGAGGTTAAAATACATATGAATGATTAAACATTATCAATTAATTTTCTAAAACAACAATCTGCATGAAGCACAATAAGTTACACAGATAATGATAAAAGAAAATGTGGAAAAATAAATCAAAAGGAGAAGCTATCCAGTGATAGCACTCCTAACCCAGAAATCATCACTTAACACTCGCACTCTCTGAGAGCAGGTCTTAGAGCCATTGCCTTTTTAGACGTCGAGGAGGATTGTGGGGAAGAGATCCAGAGGAAAGTTGTTGTACATTGTAATGGGATTGAAGGTTAGTGTGGAATTTTTGTAGCTGGATTTTGTAATCTCATTTAAAAAGATCGTTATCGATGGTATGATTGGAAACGTGGAATTAATTGAGGGATAAAAAGGTACGCAATAGTCCACCATCAACCCTTTTCGCTTTTGCATATCGGATCCCTCATTTCTTCAAAAATCAGAATAGGTGGTATTGTCGCCCTTTAATCAAATAAACTTTAAACTAATGAAATATTCTTTCTTATACATTTTGGCATAAGGATAGATGTTCCATAAACATTACTATAATTTAATTAAATTCTGCACTCTTGGAGCAAAACTGGATAGGACAACTTTTGGCAAAATGAAATAAGTGCATATTCCAATAAGTCTTTAGCCCTGAAATATGTGTATAATTACACTCAATGTGCATTTTTACAAATCTCAAAAAGTTATGTAATCATTTGCATAATTCTACTTGTCTACTTATAAAATAGAATAACTCATATACCAAAATATAATAAGTCTAATTACTATGTTCTTTTATATATTTGCCTACATGCTACAAAAAGATACTATTTTATGATTTATAGTTTCATTAGTAACAACTATAAAATAGTAGTGGTTTTTAATACAACTTGATGTCTAATTTTATTCTCCTAGCAAATACAAGGTAACTTATTGCATAAGTGTTGGTATGATAATCAGAAAATGTCTTACATTGGTGTAACTAGAAAGTTGCCAATGTTTAATGTGATAAGTACCAAAAAGCAGATATAATTAAATAAATTTAAAATCCTATTTACTAGATCAATTACATACAATTTTTACAGCATGTAACACAATATTTACAAAAATTAATACAAATGAATTGGTATCAAAGTTTTGAATTTTAAATTGCAATCCAGTTTCCATGGGGTGCATAATTATTAAATATAAATAAAACTTATTCATTAGTCCTTTACATTATTTTAATAAATGAAAATACTGTTTTCAGTTTACTTAAGGGCGACCGTGGTCGTGGATTTGATTCCCCCTGTCATCCCTGGAATTTCCTTAATGCTCCTCTTCACTAAAAATCAATCAACTCATCATATCTTGTCTCAGGCAAATATGCGAGGATTTAAGGCCATTTTATCATAAGGCAAAAAAAGCATGAAACTTGATTATTTTTGACCTTACACATCAGCTATTTTTTTTTTTTTTAAATTATATTACACCAGTGTTAGAATTTGACTCATTTGAGTATTCATTATAATTCATAAGACAAGAGGGAAAATAAACAATTAAATAAAACCTATTGAAGTTTTTATACTGGAGAAAAAAATACTTAAAATTACAGTTTATATAATGTTAAATTTTCAGAAATGCCAAAATTCAGCCGACAAACCAAAAGGTCAACCAGGATAATAAAAAATGACCAACCCCAAAAAGAAATTCATACAAAATAAATTACTGAAAATTAAAACTGACAATATCACAAATTAAAACACATTTACTTCAAAACCTCCCATTTATTATTAATAAAATCATTCAAAAATAAATGTAGTAATTTACTTTTTGGAGATAGTTAATAAATGATTAACAGATATAAATATATTACCATTACCAACAATAGCATAAATCAAAACCAAATTTAATGACTAGATCCATAAACTATATCATATTTTAATGTTAGTTATTTGTGAATATGTTATATTTGAAACAATGCCGATGAATTAAATAAGCATCCCTAAATAAGCATTGCTAGAATGTTAAATGGAATAACACTTAATAGAAAGTAAGTTTATATACATTACTCACAAAAACTAACAAGTTATAAATAAAGTACAATAAGTATTTAACTAAAAATATGCATCGCTTGGTTTATCTGAATGTAGTAAATATTGATTACCTGGAGGGAAAGAAAGCAAACTAAATTACTTTTTAGCATGAACACCACAAATCTTCTTTTGTTCAACTTGCATTTTATATTTCTAAACCTTTATTAAAGCAAAAGCTCATAGAAGCCATAGCTCATATTTCATAAGCAGAAATATCTCCATTCATGGCTCTATAAATATGTTTGTGATAAAATCTGATTTTATGCTATTGACCTGTCGAGTAAAAACAATTCATATTGAAAATGTATTATATACATGTGTGTCTCATGTATTTCAATTTGTAGTACGTTGCTTTTCTACAAAATTTGCACAACCAGATTTTTTATGTAATCTGTTATAATTAAGTTTATGAACGATCAAGCATATCCTAACAAAACTGTTGGATAATAAGGAAAGCTATTGAATAAAGGAATGAAGTCACATTTTTATGAATTTACTAAACTTATTTATTTTCTAAATGTCATAAATGTATGTAATATGACTTCAAAGTTTTTAAACGTACACATCAAAATTGCAAATTAAACCATATTACATGTTATAATAGCATATCAATACAAGGAGAAATGGCACCCAAACATAACTTTGAAGAAAGATAACTAGTTGAGGTACAAAAACAACATAAACTACATTAAACAGCAAAATGACAACTGTACAGAGAACTTCAAAGCAAATTCCAAACTCCATTGAGATAGGTAAAATGAAATTATTTTTCTCTAATAAATATGTTTTGTTAGCCATTTATGTCTTATGCAGCAAGCACAAAAGCAGTGTTTAATTAAAATAATTTGTATGTTCATTTAGAGACCAACTTAGAACAAAAACCACAGCCATTAAAACCAATATTAAAATTTCGCAAAGGAAAAGATCTATGTCTTCATAGAAAATTTGTGCCTGAACGAGTCGATCGTCATGCTATGACCCATGAAGAATATGCTAATTTTCTTGCACAGCCAAAATGGTCAGTATTTCTCTTTTTTTACCTAGGGGCATTTTGTAATTTTAAAATTGTAATAGGTCCAGGTCACCATGGTTCATGTACCAGAAAAAACAAGAAGATCCAGAATATCAGAGGAAGAAACTTAAGAAAGTATACTGCAAATTTATAGAAAACGGAGAATCTTATGGTGTTAAAGAGTCGCGTACACAGAAATATACAACTGACAGGAGTAAAATTTTTTTCCTAATGAAAGCGATCAAGTATGTGCCATCGGCAAAGGGTAAAAAAAAGAAAAAATCGCTATCCAATAAATCAGGGACATTAGCATTATGAAACTGTAGTCTGTGGTACTTTCTCCTCATTCTTGATGTTCATTAGGTTCATGTATGTATTAAATAAGCATAATTGTTTCAATTTTTTAAACAAGTAATTGTTAACCCTCCTTTACCACGGAGGTATTAGATTACTCATATACTACTCTTGGGTCGGGTCTGACCGCCATATTTTTGAACCATTTTTTCCCAAAAAAAACTTTGAAGACGTAGAAAATGGATACTAATGTTTCTGTAAAGGAAGAAGATAAAAAATCAAATTCATTTCAATCAAATATAATTTTTATTTACAGATTAAAATTGGTTCTGGTAACCTCAGTTCTGGTAAATCAGTCTTACAGTTTCAGACTCAAAAAAATATCACAACAATTACAAAATTTCAAAATCATAATCACAAACTTTCAAAACTTTATGTTCCCTTATGTTTTATGTTGTTTATCGATTTTTCACAGTATGCACAATATGAGTTTCCTTTCCTGTCGCAGAAGCCGCATCGTCTCCTTTTTATGGTTGTACTATTGTCAGAAGATGCTGCCTGTCTTTTTAGCTTGTTGCCTAGCTGTTCACCTATCATCGCTATTAGATTCCTCGGAAGACGTTCGTTAGCGAATTTTTCTGCATCCACGGCTTAGCCAACGCAATGGCTAAATTTTTGAGAATCGTCGACCGGATCATGTTAGGGTATGGCTAAAATGCAAAAAGGGTTAAATAATAAAAATTATTAGAGCATAAGTTATGCTACGGTGAGGTTGAATCTGACCTACACATTTCTACTACATGATTTCTACAAACTATCGTCTCTTATATTCCTAGAGAACTGATTAAAGGACTTGCAGCATATTGTACATTACATTCGACGACTTCGGACCTCCTACATTTCTACTACAGTTGGGTCTGATCCGACCAAAGGGGAGATAAGTGAAGAACCTTATCGATGTGATCGAGCCAACAGCTTCCACACGACTGAGGAGGAGGTGCCCATGGATGACAGATTGAAGCACATTTTATGTTGGCCGTGGCACGTCATAAAAATTTCACCTGGGTCGGATCCGAGTAGAGGAGGGTTAAGTTTGTAAAGAATTTTTTTATATTTAAAAAGTTTCAAGCAAAGAAGAATGGAAATTAAAATGTAAAATTATAAAAAATAGGACCACATAGAATAAGATAGAAATATAAACAAGAAGAAATATTTTTAATATGAACAGAACAATTCTCAGGGGAAATAGTATCATTAACATACTTTTACTTACAATAAAATATATTTTACTGGTTCAAAGACAGCAGAGAGGGGAAAAAATGGCATCTTTTGTCCTTTGAGCAGGGCAGCGGTTCTGTGGTTTCCGCCTGTCTCAGTTTTATCATTCAGTAAGTACCATTAGAATTAAAATTAAGGCAGGTACATTGACTTTTTTTTAATCTGGCAATATTTCTTAATTTAGTCACATAATAACAAAATAAAAATCTATCAAATTTCCTTAAGGTGACTTGTTTTCAAAAATGTAGTATATGTTGCATCCCTACATCCAAAGCTTTCTTTATAGATGTATCATTGTCAGTAGACACTATTAGCTCACAAATCCTTTCAAAAGAGACAGATTAGGTGACCATTTTGAAGTAAGGTGATAACCAAAAATACAGATCACAAATTTTTACTTTAAAAAGAACCAATGAACCACCCAAATTAGAAATACAAAATAAACTCTTTCCCTAGAAGTAAAGAGACGTAGGTATGTATTTAGAATGTTGATTGCTTTCATATAAGTAAAAAACTAACTTAAGCTCATGCAAGATCCTATGTTCTATCCAATTAACACAAGAAATCTAAACTTAAACCAAAAACCTACTGTATAAACCACCTCCAGACCTCTACTCAATTATGATAATGAAGTACAGGATACAAAGACAAAATAAAATCTTAAAAATAACAGTAAATGCCCATAGGTCTAGTCTCTGTTTGGAGGAAGTTGTTGAAGACAAGGAGGATCAAACTCAACGAAATCAAATTCCAGCAAATGATCTTCACCCTTTGTCATATCACCTCTACTCCAATCTACAACTCTGTCCTCCCCAACAACAAATATCCGCTATTTGGGACTTTGTTTCCACAAAAGGCTTAAAAGTCCCACACTCTATTCCAAGAACAGAACTGAACAGACAATATAAACTAACTAATAAAGACTACGTGAGAACAGACCAAAACCGCAAAACAAATTATTCATATACACATCAATACTACCCCCAATCTGGAAGTATGGAATTGCCCGACAGTTCAATTCACCTAAGCAGTCCAACCTCTAAAGAATCCAGTCATGTTCATAATCCTTCGAACCATAGCCCAAGCTCCCAATTCATATCCAACCACACTATCCATACAGATTTTCAAATCTCGTTTTTCCTCCAAACCACAAAAAATTAATACAGACTCCTCCAACAAACCCTAGGCACTATTAACCCTCTAATCTACACCTTTCATCCTGAACCCTACAATCAAGTTGCTTAAAACGACAATGGTCACATTTAATCCAATGTCAGGAAAGTAAATAGTACTGTGATCAAATTGTAATTAATATATTACTTTTCCATTGTTATAATCTTCTAATGTAAAAATAGTTAAAGACAACGAAATTGTTTGTAGTGCTCTAGCCCTATTGTAACATGTAAAACATTTAAAAAAGTAAATTAAAAGTTTTAAAACTGCTTTTTTGGGCTTTTTTGTGTTGTAAAAAAATTTAATATTGCACATATGATCACAAAATGATAACTGCCCTTTTCTCTTTCAGATTACATAACAATTTTAGATTACAAAGATTCAGATTACAATTTTCGTTTTAGAAAAATTGTTCGAGAAAAATTACTATTTGAAATTCTATATAGCAAAGACGGATTACTTTTAAAAATTTGTTGATTTTCGGCTATGCTTCAGAAAAAGTTCAAACAGGATTATGATGAGTAGAAAAATTCTTGAAAGACACTTGTACAAAAGATAGTTTTAGGTATCGATTAATTAACGAACTAATTAATAAATTAACGAATTAAAATAAGCGTTAAAAGAAGTAAAAAAATAATAATAATAAAATAAATAAAAAGAAGAATATCAAAACAGGGGCGTCGGTGGCCGCAACGGTGCGTTGACACAGCGCTCATCACTGTAAGGTAAAGGTCCTGGGTTCGAACCCGACCTCTTACAAATGTGGTTTTTTTCTCTAAACACGGGCACCCCTAGAGTTGATATAACCTCTGCTGTTGAAACATTTCGTAATATTATTTTTGTACGAAATCCGTTATTCCACGCAATAATTTTACAAAAAAGTCAATAGATTCATTTGTTTGGGGGATATTTATTGTTTAGTATAATGATATATAACATTTGCTGTATTATTTAAATTTTAAGATGTTATTAATGCAAGCTTTTATCTTCTATCTACTGATACTAGTCGTTTCGTTATTTTAAAAAAAGCTCAACTTTTGTTTGGAAAGTGCTACATATTCATCATTTTGTTGTTCTTTATTGTTATCATGGAAAAATTACTTTTAGTAAGCTCGCCCTTTGATGAAGGGTAAAGGTCAGATCGAAAATATCCAATCAGCACGTACTCAAGTGTATTTTTGAATATATTTGGCAAATTATTTTATCAGAATTGTTTCAGTAGTATAATTATTATAGTTTTGGTAATTTGATATAAAAATTAAACCATATGAATGTATATGTGAATAATATCCATTGACTGAGGACCACGTCCAATTTTGACGTCAAAATTGGACGTACAAATTTATTTTGTCCAGCCTCGCCAAAAAACAGGACAGGAATAAGGATCGAAAGCGCATGACCCAGCTAGAGCCTAGAGGACCGAGCGGGAGAAAAGCTCCGAAGTGGGGGTGGCGGCCAGAGCAGGGCTTTTGAAACTTGTTAGTCGATATCAAGTCCTGAAAGCTTTACCAGTCTCCTTGACCGCCTTGATCCACGCACATCTAAAAATCAAGGTCAGGTAACAAATAAAATCACCCGTTGAATACTAAAAAACATGACAGATATTTCTATAAATTTTCTACGTTTTTGGGTAACGAAAAATCTAAAAAGAAACGCGCACTTATTTTTTGTTTGCACTGCATGCATCGTTAGTTTGTTACTTTCTCATGAAATTTTTATTGTAAGTTCATTTTCTAAAAATAAAAAAATTTTGTTCATTTGATTCAGTGTTACAATTTAAATTATTTTATGAACAATCTTTAGTAGTAGATTATCTATAAATAAAATTAATTAGGTACTGTACAGATACATTGGTTTAAAAAACACAAGAATTTGTTTACATTGCTCTTTTTTACTCTTTTTACATCTTTGTTATAATGCCGAGGGAGAATCGCTGCGGCGGAGTGCTTTATAAGCTCCTTACCGTTCGCAAAACGAACGAGGGTGAAATTTAAATCAAGTGACTACTTACCCTCGTTTTACCATTCGAACTGAAAAACTTTGGGGGCGATGTAGTACGTACCCCCCCCTTTTTTTGCTCCATGGAGCAACTGGTTGTTGGAGCCTGGAGCCACTCGAGAGCGGGCGCCCCACAATTGGGTATGTGGAAAATTCATATGACAGGGTATAACTAAAAGGCAATTTTGTCAATTTCGACCGGATAAAATTCCCTTTGAGATTTTATATTTTTCAAGGGGACCTGGAAATTATATAAAGAAAATAATATGATCGACTACCTCTAGTGGATACATCTATTTAAGTAATTGTTAATAAATGCGTATGCATCATGAAACACTAACTTTAATTAAAGAAAACACCATTTGTTTAATTCAATATTATATCTGAATTGTTGAGGAGGAAGGTTGTTTTGTTCTTATGAGCGAGAAAAGGTGAGAATTAGAGAAATGGAGACAAACTGATAGACAGCTAGTGGAAAAAGAGAAAAGGAGGGAGGGAGAGAAAGAATATAACTAAACGATATTTTTTTTATAGTTAAGAGAGTGAGAGAAATAGAGAGACAGAGAGAAATGGGATAGAAAGGGAGTGAGAAGGAGGGATGGAGGGAGAGGAAATATAAAGAGATTGGCTGAAAATGTGACCTACAGAAAGGGATAGTAGATAAATAGTGAGAGATGGAGAATAAGAGAGAGTGAGAAAGAGAGAGAGAGAGCGTGAATGAGAAAGAATGAATATAAATAAACGAGTTTTATTTATAGTTTAGAGAGTGAGAAGAAGGGAGAAAGAGAGAGAGAGAGAGAGATAGAGAGAGAGAGAATGAATATAACTAAACGATATTGTTTTATAGTTTAGAGAGTGAGAGAAAGAGAGGGATGAGATAGAAAGAGAGAGGGAGAGAGAGAGAGAGACAAGGAGGGAGGGATGGAGAGGAAATAGAAAGAGATAGACTAAAAATGTGACCTACAGAAGGGGAGAGTGGATAGATAAATAGTGAGAGATGGAGAATAAGAGAGAGTGAGAAAGAGAGAGAGAGAGAGAGCGTGAGTGAGAAAGAATGAATATAAATAAACGAGTTTTATGTATAGTTTAGAGAGTGAGAAGAAGGGAGAGAGAGAGAGAGAGAGAGAGAGAGAGAGAGAGAGAATGAATATAACTAAACGATATTGTTTTATAGTTTAGAGAGTGAGAGAAAGAGAGAGATGAGATAGAGAGAGAGAGAAGGGGGGAGGGAGAGGAAATAGAAAGAGATAGACTAAAATGTGACCTACAGAAGGGGAGAGTGGATAGATAAATAGTGAGAGATGGAGTACAAGAGAAAGAGAGAGAGAGTGTGTGAATGAGAGAGATGAATATAAATAAACGAGTTTTATTTATAGTTTAGAGAGTAGAGTGTAAGAGATCAGGTAGAGTGAGAGAGAAGGAGGGAGGGAGAGGAAATAGAAAGAGATAGACTGAAAATGTGAGAGACAGAAAGGGACAGTGGATAGGTAGATAATGGGAGATGGAGAATAAAGTGAGAGAGAGAGAAAAGAGAGAGGCGGGAGGGAGAGAGAGATAAGAGAGCGAAGGAAAATGATGTATTAAAAAGTATATTATACTAATTATTTTATATTGTGGAAGTGTTGGTTCGATTGACATGCTTTTTCTTTAACCTATTTCTTTAAATTAAACAATAATTTTAGATTAATTATTTTTAATTATATAGATACACTAGGTGATAGATAGAGAGATAGAGAGATAAAAACATGTATGAGATTGATGTATCACTTGGAAATGTGGGTATATATGGCTTTGTTATAATTAATATAAATGATTAATTCAAAAAAATTCATTTACAAATGAATAGTGGGATAATAATAAATAATGGGTTGTTTTAATTGCACTGAGGGTTTCGGGTGCAAATTATTCGATAATATCGTTCAATATTCATTCCTTCCATTCATTCCGAATAAAATGGAAAAGATTAAATTTACGTTAAATTGCACATTACATTTGTTATATTGATTCTATCCGAAACAAGATTGTCTACTGAAATATAAAACATATATGAAATATTTGAACCGGGTATTTTCCTATTCCGTCTAATTCCAGATCTGATTCCATGCCGTAACCCTCGGTGCCAGTACCGGTTTGGCGGTGAAAAAGAAAAAAAGCGAAACTGTCGTTTGCCATCGGTAAATAAAAGGGTTTCCGCTTTACAATCACACTGTATTTTTCCTCAATGTTCTTGCCCGACGAGGGGCGTCTTTTTAACGTTTTGTCTCCAATGGACAACGAGTGCCATTTCGAACTAATCAGCGATATTGATTGCAGCCATGGTCGCCCGATGATAAAATCTATCGGTACGATAGCTGTTTCTCTTTGCTGAATATCGCCAAGAACAAAAAAAAGGTCAAGAGGTTAAACCTGTATAAACCTTTCAAGAAATCTGTCTTTTGTAAAAAATGCATAAATGTATCACAACTGATGGCAATAAATGTTTCTTGCAACCTCTTGAAAAACTAGTCTGCAAATTTAATGTAACGATAATATAATGGATAAATACATTTTTATAATTAATAAGGCTACTGTTCTGCGAGTTCAAGGAGATTTTTAATATGATTATTAATAAGAACTATAATAATAATTCTGTCAATTAATTAATCTCTTTAGGTAAAAAAGGTATCACAACATGAAACAAACACAGCCAAGAAAAAAAGATAACAAATAAAGTAAAAAAAATAATACTGTAATAATAATGAATGTAAAAAAACACGTTCTTCAAATAAAGATTATTATTATTTCCATTATATTTCGTGGTCCATCAATTAATTAATCGTTTTATGTAAGGTTTTGGTCGAAATGAAAAAGCTAGTGCCACGAGCGGGATTCGAACCCACGACCTTCGGCTAAATACCCGCCGCTCTACAATAGTTCAAGTGGTAGAGCAGCGGGTATTCAGCCGAAGGTCGTGGGTTCGAATCCCGCTCGTGGCTCTAGCTTTTTCATTTCGACCAAAACCTTACATAAAACGATTAATTAATTGATGGACCACGAAATATAATGGAAATAATAATAATCTTTATTTGAAGAACGTGTTTTTTACATTCATTATTATTACAGTATTATATTGTTTACTTTATTTGTTATCTTTTTTCTTGGCTGTGTTTGTTTCATGTTGTGATAGCTTGTTCAAGTTTATATTATAGTGTTTTTATTTTATTTTTCAATTTATATGTATATGCATACAATGCCAGCAAAAATAATTTAACTCTCTTATCCAATTACCAAAAAACTTTGTTGTTCAATATCCAAATGGGTTAAATTTGTGTTGAATTATTTAAGCATAATTAACATTTCCTTGTCTCTCAGATCTTAGAACAAGTTTTGAAATTGTATAGATCCTCGGCTTTTGATTAATAACAGATTATCCTGTGCTTTTGATGTCTATAGGGGCAATTAATGTTATTAAAACTAATGTTAAGATTTAATATATAATATAATGTTAACTTATTGCTGGATAAAGAGCTTGGAATGATAATTTATTGTAAAAAAACATAATGGTATGAAATATAATTTGCTTGTATTTAAGGCTAGTTTGAATTCTTCCTCAACGGAGACTGGATTTTTTCCTTATTTCAGTATTCTTCGTAATTTTTTTCTATATTTAATCGTTCTGTTATATTCAACGACAGAAAGGGCATGTTATCGTCAAACTTCGCCTAATGGAGACCGGGGATGTAAATTAACCGCTTCCGCCTTCGCTCCTCCGCAGCTCTTCCTCATTTTTAACCGGTGACAAGCTTAAACCTGCTGAAACACAAAACTAAACCAGTTCCGTGAAATAAAACGTAACGTCGAGCAGACCCATTCCGACCATGGGAGTCGATCGATTAAGAAAACTCGGTGGAATGGAGTGATGGATGTGCACGAATATAATCAAGTTCAAAGGTTTACGGGCTGATGAAGTTTTGTTTTAACTCGATTTCTCCGTTTGGTAAAAAGCAATAAGATAGCGTTTAAAACAACGTACATTTACATTCTTCTTGCCTGTTTTTTAAAGAGAAAATTTTTTCCTCTGGTGCTTTTCAAAACATAAAAATTCTAAATTGTTTTAAACTAAACTTTTTAATTTACTTCATAAACATGTGCATTTTGTTTGAAAAAGAAGAAAATTGTTATATCATAAGGAATACCATATCTTTTTTTGTAATTGGCCAAGGACGTTGAAAACAATGAGAAGATGGCTTACCTGTCAGGTCGTAATTTACATTTGAATGGCATGACTGCAGGTCTGTTATTCCAGAAAACCTTAAATTGGACATAAATTGCGTGTTATGAACGTGATTATTTTAAATGGACGGCGTGACCTTCTGTGACCCTGTTAACGTATGATCCGCAGAACTTACTCTTGTGGCCGAATTGAAATTCGGAACCACCCATGAACAGTACTCAATGATCCGACAAGGGTCTCTGTGAAATTTACTGTCCTCAATAAAACCTATGACTATCCTTTGTAATATAAACACTCAACTCCGTTCTCATTGAATTTCGAATAACAATTCTCCCAGGAAAAGGATATTGTATCGGTATTTTGCCATTATAACGAGTGATTAATTTTTGAATTCTGATATAATTAGTAACCAGCCATCAATTATGTGTTATTTGATATTAAAAACGACCATGGATGAGAATAATAGAAATTCGGAGGCACCCAGGAACAGTGCTCAGTGATCCGACAAGGGTCTCTGAAATTTACTCTCCTCAATAAAACCTATGACTATCAAATTCACTAGTTTTCGTGGTCCGGTTGACCAATTAATATCTTTCAATTAATTAAGGTTTTTTAGTTGAGATAAAAAAGTCAGCGTCACGAGCGGGATTCGAACCCACGATGTTCGGCTAGATACGCCGCCGTTCTACCACTTGAGCTATCGTAACCTCGATCCACTCGGACACCAACTTCCCATCTCAACCCCACCTTTTGAGTTTTCCCTCCTTTTTGCCATTTTTCAAATCGAATCCCCCTCGTGACACTGGCTTTTTTTATCTCAATTAAAAAAACCTATGACTATCCTTTGTAATATAAACACTGAACTCCGTTCTCATTGAATTTCCAATAATAACTCTGCCAGGAAAAGGATATTGTATCGGTATTTTACCTTTATAACGAGTGAATAACTTTTGAATTGTGATATAATTACAAACCAGCCATTAATTATGTGTAATTTTATATTAAAAACCCCCATGGATGAGAATAATTAGAACCTTTATACAAATATGTTTTGATGTTTCAATCCGACCATTTATTTATTAATACTTAGATTTTTATTTGATCGAACTATTTTTATAAATACATTACTACTTAAAAAATATGACAGATATGAAATGAATTCAGAATTCGGTGTTTTGACCGCTACAAATGCGTTTAATTTGCAAAAGCCCGAAACGTCCCGAGGGCAATATAATTCCAGAAACCAAAATTACAGTACGAGACCCAGAGATGATGCATTCCTCAACGAGGAACCCAGCAATTTAATAATACTGTGTTATAACGGCCCTCCAATTGAAACAATATTACCACGCTTGAGAATGTACGGTTAAAAGAGTAAACAAGGCCAAGTAATGTTATAATTTAATTTAATCTCTTTGTTGTGTTTTCTCATTCATTTGTCAACTTGTTGAAAAAATTGGAAATTAGTTTTCCTAAACCATTTTCCATTGACAATCATCATTGTTAAGGGATTACATATATAGACCCTCTTATTTTATCGCGAGGTACTTAACACGACAATAAATCCCTGCATATGTTACATAAATTTGGTCACTGCTGATAAATGACATTAAAAAACTAAAACCTACACAATATGCGATGGAGAGAAGTGTATTAGACAAAAGAAAAACGGGCAGCATTAGAAATGAAACAACAAGAAAAATTACTAGGCTTGAAATGTGAAAAATGTAATAAAGAAAAACAGCATTACAAATGTCGATAAATGGACAAAATTTATACCAATTTAGTAAGATGGAGAAGAAGAGGTAGATTTATAATAATATAAAACAGAAAAACGCTGGGATGAAGATCTGTGCAGGTGACAATTGGTGGAGCACGGCGAAAACAGAGAGAATTGGAAAAATATCGGGTCAAACATTAAAGCATAATTTCTAAGATGTTTGTATTCTGTTAGTCTTGTAAAGAAATCTGACTAAATGTAAATTCAAATACATATTTGTACATATTAGAAATGTGATCATAGTATGTTTATTCACACGCTCTCAGCAATAACATCAATGCCAAGCTGCACACGGAGGACATGCCATGAGAAACCAGGCAATTCTGGACTAATTCTGGCAGTCAGTGTGAACGATTAACGTGCGAGATTTCGAGGCCATCATCGATTAAGGCTTAAGAGAGGGCTCGAGCCATAGGTGTTAGGATGGATGGAATGGATTAGTGACGTACTAAGGAGCTTTGACGATTTGTCTGAGGACTTTGATCCGAAAGATTGGATGCGCTGGATGTTAGAAAGCTTGGCAGAACTACACAGTTCCATTCCGTATTTCCAAAGTGGTCGTCCAGAAAAGTCTTGTATAAGGTTAGTTTAGCGATGACGGACAACATGGATTTCGGTCCTAGAAGTCTTCGTAGTTGTCCAAGTCTTCTGTTATGTGGCTGTCTCTTAAGTCTTCGTGGGAATTCCGCGTCAGTCTGCTGTATAAGTATTTGACTTGAATGAAAGTCGATATCTCTTTGTTGTTCATATATAGTGTAGGGCAAGACTGTTTTTTCAACCTGACGTACGCTGAGTACATTTTTCTTTATACAGTCCTATCCTCTACTTTTTGCACCAGCCTTAAACTCAAGGTGTTCTTGGGTAGGATTGAAGTTCGAGGACAAAATTACTCTATCGTCCGAGTAGGTGGTGATGATGGTATTTGGGCGTATAGGTGGCTCAGAAGTACAAATAATATAAAGGACCAAGAATGCTCCCTTGTGGGACTCCAGCTTGTATCGGTCTGATTTCCGATAAATCGTTGTCACATCTCACTCTGAAGGTGCAATCGGTAGGATTGCTAGACCCAATCAAAAGCTCATATCTAGGATCGTGCCCAAGCAATCCTGTTTGTACTCTAGAGCGGAGGAAATGATGTAAATAACTCTGAAATCTTGTTGTATCTTAGAAGGATGTAGGCAAAAGCCGAATTGCTGAGACGGAATTATTTTATGAGTATCTAGGACGGAGATTAATAACTTTAAAAGGAGACTTTCGAGGATTTTGGACATTGCAGGAAGAATGCTGTTGGGTCTGTAAAATGACATGTGGTTGGGAGGTTTGTGAGCTTTAGGAATGAGAATAACGACGGAATATTTCTTTAATGCTTTTATTGGACTTCCACAAAAATAAATTTTTCAAGAGCCACAAGTAAATTTCTGACGAATAGATGGTTGAAAAAATATAATATTTTGAATACTGAGGAAGGATTGAGGATCTGACCGTGCTTAAAAGAACCGTTTTTTTTTTCTTTTGAGGTGCGAAATTAACTGGCAAAGTTTGTGACGCGAGTAGTATGATACACAAAAAAAAAATTTAAACTTCATTTTTTGTAATGTTGACTAATATAATAATTACACAGGAGATCTTAACATCCAATTACTCGGACGAGGGATCAAACCAATTTACAATACTTTCTTCACATTATTCACAAGTAAAAATTCATGGGATAAGCCGAGATTCGAACCCAGGGCAGTTAGCGTGGCAATATGAAAAAGAGTCGGACGCCCTAACCACCCTGCAACCGCGGTCCCCAATATAATAATATATTACAAGACACTATTCAGATAGATTTAAAATATATATCAACACCAATTTTATCCTTAAAAAACCACTCCAAAATTAGATATAAATATTTACTGACAAATCTCATTTATATTATTTACACTCTGGTTTTAAGACTACTCAGAAGATAAACTACGAACCCTTTTGTCTCAAATTTTATTCCACAACCGAACAAGGCTCAAGTTTTCAATCATCCAGCCTCCTTGAAATTGCTTCAGTATTTGCGAAGGATGGGGAATAGGATCGCGCCCAGAGGAGGCGGAATAATCAATGAGCCTTTCAAACACCACAGTAACTTTCTCGATTTTGGATATTCAAAACTTTCTTCTCGTGTCGATCTAACGGCGTTTGTTATCACAAATGCAAAAAGCAAATTGGTCCAATTATTAAATCCTGGTGTTTGAAATACGCCAATGATACTTTTAGTAATAAATCCACGACAATTTGACAGCACCCAATCCTTTGAGGGCCCATTGCGTTTCGAGGTAAATAATAAAAATTAGTATTGTCACAGAATTTATTTAGCTTTAGTTAACTGTTTGCATTTTTGATTAAATAATCAAAAAACAACTAGCTTTTTAAAAGTGCAAACCGACTTTGATCATTATGTTTTTTGTTATAAATTTTTAAACCAGCCTGGTATGTACAGAAAAACAAAATACAAATACATTTTTTTAAGACTCTGTTCTTATCCTAGTTACCAATGTCGTCGGCTATTTGAGACTTAAATTGACAAAAAACGCTTAAAACATCCACACTCGACTCCGAAAAATAGAACTGAACTGATGATATAAAGTAATAAAAAAACTACTTGACAACAGATCCAAACTCACATAATTACTACAACCAAACTAAACCAAGCGTTCCAACTTCTAAAGAATGCAATCACTAAAGTGCGAAATCATGCGAACTATTTCCCAAGCTTCCTACTTCATACCCTGCCTTACTCTCTTCACGGACTTTCAGATCCCATTTGTCCCGAAAACCGCAAGAAGTCGATACAGACGCCTCCACAAAGCCCTGGACACTAATCCCAACTCCCTAGTCGAACACCTTTTCATCTCGATCCTTTCCTGATCCTTTAAGACCCCTAAAGCGCCAATTCCTTCCTAGTGAAAGTGTAATTAAAGAATTACTTCTCAACTTGTATAATCTTATAATATAAAAATTCAAAAATTCATTCTTGTAGCACTTTAGCTGTTCTAAATAATAATGAAACAAACAGAAAGTTCTTATTGTTTTAAAGTATACCTAGCTTGTATAATACAATTCTTATAAATTTAATTACATTTGTTTACTAAATAAATTTAGTTATATATTAATTTTGCACATTAATTGGTGTAATGCATTTTTATAATAAAACAATTGTTTAATGATAGTAGGTCGAAAAATGCCTTAAATGCCTTTGATACTAAGATATCCCTATTCTATATATATGTATGTATGTGTGTGTGTGTGGGTGTGTGTAACAACGTCCCACGATTGCAGTGGCCACGTATCCTATATCGAGGAGGCAGTGTTAGACAATGATATGAAATATGAACATTATCAGACCGAATTAATAATATAGAATAGTGAACAACCTTAAATATATCGATTTTAATTTCCAAGATGCTTACCCTAAAAGTGAGAGTTCACCTTAAAAAGGTTAAAGATGAATATGGGAATTTACCAACCAAAATCTATTAATCAGTAGATGAGGATTCTCCGTATGAGTTTCTCATCATGTACGGTTCCCATCATAAAGAGATGTTTGAGTTGGAGGCAGTCATAAAGCATGACCAAAGAAAATCAATACAGAAATATCGAAGTAACTCTACCAGCAGATATTGCAGAAATGTATATAGATGAGAATAAAAACTTTGTATTTAAAGAATTTTGTTTAGAAGAGTTTATACAATCAATTTACGAAAGGGAACACCAGAATGAAATTAAACAAATGGGACTGTCATTGTCAGAAGTAGAAAGTCCGTTTGTTCTAGATAAATTTAGTGGTGGAAGTCAAAAAGCGTAGTCATGGTTGCTGGATTTTGAAAAGGAATGGGTACCATATGGAATTATTAATGTTACCATATGGAATTAATTATTAATTTATTAATTTAAAAAAAAAACAGGTTTTAGAAAATGGGAACAGATGGACAAATTCATTTTTTTTAAACCTATGCAGATTGATTTTGTGTGTGTGTGTGTGTGTGTGTGTGTGTGTGTGTGTATATATCGTAGATTTGAGTGTGGCAAAAGTAGACCTGGATATCTCGGAGTCGATCATTCTTTAAGAATGCCTTTTTTTTAATCCGTCTTTGAGACATAAAAAAAAGTAATCCAGGTCTTCACATTTCAAAACAACGTTTATTAACTGTTCAAAATTTTTAAAGAAGGTATCTACATCGAAGCCAGACGCTTCCTCTCTAAAAATTGTTAAAGACTTCATATAAATCAAACAAAGTTTAGCCCACTCGTCTCCGTTTTTGCAATCTGTCACTCAACTCCGTTACTGACTGACTTGTAAAAACCCTTTGGTACCACCCATGTTTTTCAAACCTCCCCAGAGCCTCTACGTGGAGCTTTCTTCCACATGGCTGCTACTATCCTCTGCTTTACCATTGTTCATTTCTTGAGCTTTCCTTTGGAGGAGATTTTTGAAGGTCCAAACAAGACTCGAAATGTGTCGCTTCGACTTTTCTATATCCTCATTCTAATCGTTCAAACAATTAATACAATAATCTTTAGTTAATTGCTAATAGTTAACCACAATTAATTATTAGTTAGGTACACAACTAGCTAGCTGTACAAAAAAAATAGTCTTCCCACGACATACAGTTCTTAACAATAAGCCCTAGGAGCCAAGAATAAAAAGATTTTAACTAACAAATTTTTTCTCAATTTGTTGTGCATTATTTCAAGGTTATTTATTATATATCAGTGGATTGTAAATAGTCGAAAAAAATTCCCATTCCTATCTTTCATCCAGACAAATCTGAGTTTCTTTTCGATCATCCCTTTTCTAACCGAGCGACAATGTTTCCGAGTTTCTCAAGGCTCTATCCTTTGACCTTTTCTGTTTGTATACTTTAACAAAATATTTCCTCCAAGGATTATAAAAATGTCGCTTTACACGGACGAAATTGCTTTCGAGATGTTTTAATTGCTATAATTTTGGTTGAAAATTAAACAATAATATATTTGACTGATAACTGATCATTAAATTTAGGTGCATAAAAATACATCATATACTTACAACATAAATAAATAAATACATGAATGAATAGATATATACCAACTAACGATATATTAATTACATTATATTCGACAAGCTTTGTTGTGATTGATATAATTTTATAAAATAAAGCATTACTATTGGTAGAAAATTTCCTGCGTCAAGAAAAAATTGTATGACAATTATTCCTCTCTTGCTGTGAAATTTAAGACAAACTAATCAATTCTCATTGTTTGCTTTAAAAGTTTACTTAATATTCAATTTGTCATTTAATATTTGATGCTGGGCTTTAGATTGAGTTGTGCTAAAAAGGCCCTCCCGTGGGATTAACTAAAGAAAATTGATTTTCCTTTTACCCCTTCAAACATTGAGTGATCCTTTTATACAAATTAGGGGTATTTATATAGTTCTGTAAAATCTCGATATTATTGAATAACAAATCTTGATATTCCGATTCTATTTGTTGTGTAAAATTGTTCATTATTAGTACAATCAACCTTCTGTGATAGGAAAATTAACCCGTTCGTTTTCTTGATACACCTGATCAAAATTATCATCATGGAAAGCATCGATGCAAATATACGTGTTTTTACTTTTAAAATATCGTTATTATCTGTTCAACTGATCTTAATTCTTCTACTCGAGGGAATTCCATTGCACTATTTCAGGTCTGACAATTGCAACTTGACCCCGAGTGTATACTTGAATAATTCGTATTCTCCGTGATGAGAATTCCCTTCTCAGTATTCAATTTAACGCCCTAGCACTTTCCCAAAGGGCCACTTGTAAAATCCTCAAAGGGTTTATTTTTCCAATCTCAGCAAGCACGTCATTAATTAATCGATGGCCGTTATTAAAATTTAAATCAGAAATACTTAATTTAGAAGAGGGACACTGTTTTTATTTCATTATTTTCTGTGCTTTCAATCTCTCTTAAAAGCGATATAAACGCTTACTTAACATTTTTTATAATGTTTACTTTCACTTTTTCAGCTCCATTATGTGGTGAATTTCCCTTACCCTTTTATAAAATGAGTAAGCTGTGAGGGACAACAGTAGAAAAGTAACATGGCGATGACAGAAGAAGAACGACACCAAAAAGAAATCTACGATGTGGCGAATGCCTGCGTCGACGAAGTAATTCTTGAAGCGACACAACAGGTCCAAGCTCGAAAGGTATACCATTTACCTCATTTGGTATTTTTTTAAAGGTCAACCAGCCTACTTTATTATTAAAACAAGGCTTTAACATCGCATGGTTTGTTGAGAGATTCTATAAAGGTTATTTGCGTGTGGTATATTTTTACGGCCCAAAATGTTTATCTAAAAAAACGATCGATAATTCCCGTTTCATTTATTATATACAACATTGTTATTCACATCACTAACGTTCAATGTTACATTTTACATTTGTTTCTGATTTTTTCGTATTGAACGTTCCTGTTAACTCACCTTGACCCCCAGCGGTTTGGCATAATTTTGGCAATAAATCTGTAAAAAATTACAGCATTTGAATCAGTATCAAAAAGAAAACTTTGCGACGAACGATAAAAGCCGCAATAAAAATTAAACTTAACCATCAGATTATAAAATTGTTAAAACTACTTAATGCATGCAAATTGTTTTAAGCTGCGCAATCTGTAACTTCCCTGTCAACGTGTCAAACAGTTTTGATCTTCTCAGGGTCCGCCTACTCTCGCTCTTTGTTCGATAAGTTTGCGTTGGTGTACCTTACTAAAGTTTGCAAAGCACACAGCCTTGTCAATGAGTTTAATTATTTCCAATGATTTTTTGTTTAGTATGTTTGATTAATTTAAATAAAAAATCGTAACGAAAAAATCCAATGTAGTAGTAGTGATCAAAACTGATTTTAATAATCCTATTTTAATATAATTATTTTTTTTAATAACAACCTAAAGGGGGGGACGTCGGGGTAGTATCGGTTTAAACGTTGACCTCACTGTAAAGTAAAGGTCTCGGGTTCGAATCCAGCCACCCTGCATTCGACATACTTACAAATGGGCTTTTTTCAAAAACACTGACACTGGATTGATCTGACCTCTGCTTTTGCCAACCCCTAAAAAAAATGAATAAATAAAACTTTTATATAACTGGTGGAATTTTAAAAAATTACAAATTTATTAAAAAATAAGATTTATTTTAAAAATAAAATTTTCTAAACAAAAAACCCAGTGAGAACAGGCGTACCATTGAGGCTACAGGCGATACAACTGTTTATTTATTTTTAAATAGTTTAATAAATTCGATAAATACTTTTTTCATTATTTTTCTGGGTCACTATAAACAAAAGTCTCCCTTTCTTCCACTGCGACCTAAAAGATCTATTATGGAATTGATCCTTCTTTATTTCCAAACTTCGAAAAGAGCACTGCCCTCAAAACTTTTCGTTTATTTCGTATGTGGCAATTCAAGGGGCAATGGCCAGGATAGAGTCCTATTATTTTCCTTAATCCTAGCCGTCTGAGATAGGTGGATGCTGACATTATATTCTGCCCAGATCATAAAAAAAATGACCACTTGAGTTTTGCACGTTTTCCATCTAAAAACCAAGTTTTTGTCCACAAATGGCGAATAACTCAACAGCAGTTGAGAAATCGGGCAAAGTTGAAGGTGTCCGATTGAAATCTTATTAAAATTTCCTATCGATTCTGTATGGCGCCGCTCCAGGACGACTTCCTTGCTCCACAGCTCAATTTGAAGTTTTCGTAAAACGTGTCAAAATTAGAAGTTCCCCAATTTTTGAAATTACTGATGATTGACTGAAGCTATGAAAACATTTAAAAAGAACCAACTTGTTCAGCGTAAAATTTTCTTAAAAAAAGACTGGTGTAGGTCTGTTGACGTTTTTATGGGCAGTAAATATATGTATATACATGCTGTAACAAATGAAAATTATTTCATTATAATTTGGAACTTTCCAACTCAAGAACTCCATATGATGTTGAAAACTGCTAAATTTTAAAATTTAGATGTGGAATTCGTCATAAATTTACGTTATTAGCTCATCCCAACATTACACAGTTTATCTGTGATTTTAGCAGTTTTATTTTGTTAATAGCAAAATGTGTAATATATATTTTTTTTTTACAATAAATACCCTTCTGGTTGGATCGAACCATTTGTAACGTTCGACTAACAATAAGTTCTGCATACTGTTTTTATTTTTGCTTAATGAACCTCTGACCTCTTGCTGACACTGGGCCGCTACAAGTTCGATTAACCGAGTCATTGGCCTGGAAGGTGATGGACTCTAAGCGAAGCTCCTCGGTAAATGAACATTTCGTCCCTTTTCGCCATTTTCTCTTCATCAATTTCCCTTTGTATGAACGACCAAAGCAAAATTTGAAATATTATTTTCCGAGATAGCAAACAGTTGTAAAAATTTTGTACATTAACGTCCGAAAGGAAGAAATAACAGATAAATGATAATAAAAATATATCCATATACAAACATTATTATATTATGTATATATACACACGTAATTATTGATTACAGTCTGTTTATATTCAATTGCATAATTCCGTTGCTTTCATTTAAATTGAGATTCATTTTTTAGCAGGTTGATTATGGTCCGCCTGTTCTCGCTATATATAATGTCCAAATAATACAACGATCAGTCAGGGTTAACACAGATACTAAAATCTTTACAGAAACATTCAAAAATTCAATACAAGCACTGCAAAGTTGCACTAGTGATAACAACAGACAATAAATATATTCTCCTGTAATAATCTTGGGATAAAAATAAAAGATTTTTCATTAAAAAGACTCCCTTTAACACGAGTAATTATAAACAATTAATTTTGATGTTGATATTTTTTTTTACAGGAAAGCGCTGTTGATCCAAGTGATGGATTAAGTAAGTAGACACAAAGAAAATTAATTAATATTTTCTCTGTCGTTTTCTTTCAATTGCAGTTTGATTTAATTTTTCGATAAATAATATACACTATTTTATTCGACAACTATCATTAATATGTTACAAATTATAAAATATAGTTATTTGGAGATCGTGAGATGCGGTTTGGTGTGACGTAGGATTAGAAAACATTTTCTTTATCGTGCCAACGTTTCGATCATTATTGAGATCATCTCCAGGGCTCAAAGTGTTTGTTTTCCGTGTAGACGTGTCATTCTTCAGAGCCTGGGATTTATAAACATTGTTTAAATTTTACAAATAGGTGTAGGATGTGAAAAAAATTAATTTATGCAATGCTAGAAATTTTAGATTCAATCAAAGTATTTGTACTTACTCAAAGTGTTTGTTTTCTGTAAAGATCGTCGATAGAGGTCTACACAGAAAACAAACACTTTGAATGAGTACAAATACTTTGATTGAATCTAAAATTTCTAACATTGTATAAATTCATTTTTTTCATATACTACATGTTTTTGTCAAATTCAAACAATGTTTATAAATCCCAGGCCCTGAAGATGATCTCAATAAAGATCGAAACGTTACACGATAAAGAAAATGTTTTTCTAAAACCTACGTCACACCAGACCGCATCTCACGATCTCCAAATAATCATTAACTAACGGTCACTAAACACCACACATAAAATATAGTGTTAGCAATTAGAAAGCTGAATTTGCTACTTTCAAGTATAAAGAGGTCTCTGTTCTTTAATTTTCAAACCTCACTGAAATACCATAGCATCTCCAATTATTTGATTTTCCTGAATGAAATAGCGTTTAAAATGGTAATTAATCTATACCGAATAACATACTAGTTTGTAAGGGAATTCATCTTTGATTGATCGCTGATAAGGCTGAAACATAAAACCAAACGAAAATATATGATTGATAGACTCGACGATCTCGTCCTTTCTTCTCGGCACAAGTAAAGCACCTTGTCTTTATATTAGGAACGTTATACCGAGGATTAAAAGAGAAGACGTCTTCTATCGAAAATCAAAATTGTTAATCAATCAATTGTTTACGCCAGTTCCCACATTGATCTCAATTCCGACACGTTTCAGCTTAACTCCGTATTCAATGGGAGTTAATTTGCTCCCGATTCCCTCTGGAGAAATCGACGTCTCTCTCTATACATTCATTAAAAACAATACTACATTAATCAGTAACGTTGTTTATCATTTTAACGATCCGATAACTAATTTGTTATAAAGTTATATACGTGCAAGGCCTGTTGGACGTAATCGTTAATATTGTTTCCAGGAAATCAATATTCAATCTCGTCCTGTTTGATATCGTTATGTTTGGAAAACTTCGTATTCCGTATGAATTTTATTAATATTAATGATAGCAATAAAAATATTAATTTTGTTTTCTCGCATGAATAGTATAATTAGTAAATCCATTATAGTTCGTGGTCCGATTGACCAAATAACTTACTTCAATTAATTAATCTTTATGTAAGATATTGTTTGAGATAAAAAGTCAGTGTCAAGAGCGGGATTCGAACCCAGACCTTCGGCAATACGCCGCTGCTCTACCACTTGAGCTATCGTGACACTGACTTTTTTATCTCAACCAATACCTTACACAAAAATTAATTAATTGAAATAGTTATTTGGTCAATCGGACCACGAACTCTAATAGATTTAATAAGTAAAATGAAGTATATCTTCACTAAAGCTCTCCATGGCCATTTCATTTGTCGCCAAGAATCAAATAGATTACACGACATTTGAAAAATGGCAAAAAGGAGGGAAAATTCAAAAGGTGGGGTTGAGATGTGAAGTTAGTTCCGAGTGGATCGAGGTCACGACAGCTCAAGTGGTAGAGCAGCGGCGTATTTAGCCGAAGGTCGTAGGTTCGAATCCCGGTCGTGACAATGACTTTTTTTATCTCAACCAATACCTTACATAAAGTATAATTAGTGTTAAATGTCAGGATTTGTTGATATTCAGGCGATTCCCTTATTTTTCTAGTTTATGTTTTAACCGACAAATGTTTACAATTAGTTTTTACTTTTTATGTATAATATATTTTTAATATATTTTTTCGCTTTCCTAATTTTTAGATTGAAAAGTGTATGTTTTACATTATAATTTTATAGTGGAAGTGCTATACAGTAAAATACTTTTTCTTATTTTTCTTTTTAATAAAGTAATATTACCATCTAAGTGCCGTTACTGGAGAGACAGACAGGAAAGTGTGTGTAAGATAGTCAATATGGGGACAATAATAATAAAAATAATAATAATAAGCCCGCAGTGAATAGGTGATGGGCGCATTTATTGGGGCGCTACGTCCCTCAGTACATTACACCTTTGTGACCCAATTTCTGACCTGTACTATGTCCCCTGGGGATCTACCAGGTTCCCCATAATTTTTTGTGTTTCTTTGCCTCACCGGACCTGCCCGCTCACCCTCGGCGTTTATCAGGACTACTGTCGTGTTCATGGTTCATGACAGTCCACGGATCGGTGCTTGGATGTATGTGACTTAAGTGAATGTGAAAATATGCCTACCAATAGTGCTTAATTATTTACATTAAATAAATATCAATGTGTTTGTAAATAAAGATAATTCAGGTACTATGATTGGCTAGATAAGTGAATAATTGGATGAGCTCGGATGCATTTTTGCGGCCATCACTTTCGCAACATATTTAGCGGTAGTCTTGAAACGATCATTAGTCCGCAAAGCTTTCTTGGTTACCTCTACAGAGGGCATTTCGTTACACGAGGGTTTTCCAGGCGCAAAATAATGATACAGCTCAGAAACCGTGGCAAACTCTCTAAAGAACAAGAAATCATCAGCGGATCTCTCTCACAGATGCGTCCATAAACAAGATCCTAGCTGAAAAGACGGGGTACGGAAAATAACCGACTGAACTATGAGGCAAGCAAGGCAGCCCAAGCACATAGCTTGCTACTGGATTTGGATTCGTAGGGGTTCGATGGTGAGACTCCTGGAGTATACTGTGTGATGATGTCGTTCAGGTGATGCTGTTTACCAGAAACCTTTTCCTGGGGTGGTTAGCATTCTGCTTACGTCGAATGCCAGTACCGTTCTGAAGTTTTTAGCTAAAGGAGCCTCTCTACTTGTGGGGTTATGGAACGGCCAATTCCATCATTGGGAGAACGCCGAGAAAGTCGGACAGAAATCATTTCAGTCCTTTGAGCTTTTCGCCGTGCGGTGTTGGTCAGGCGCATCGATGCGGATCCGCTCGTCGGAAGTGTCATGTGGACAAGAATTCGCCTTGATCCTTAGGGATGTATTTATCTGGGTACCAAAAAAGAATGGGAAAGAAAGGGAAATAACTGCTTTAAAAATGGCACCATCCTCTGGTACACAGATGGATCTAGAACACAAGAAGGTACGGGTGCAGGAGTATTTGGACCCGGAACCAAATACTCAGAACCCATGGGAAAACACACCAGTAGCTTCCAAGCTGAGATTCACGCAATTATACAATACGCAAGAGATGTACTCAACTCAACTTGAATAAAGAGTACAAAAACAAGAGCATAGCTATCATGTAAGATAACCAAACAGCCATCCAAGAATCTTCTAACCAATTTTGGTAAGAAAGAAATCACCGAATGTGTCAAAGGAAGCAGGAACAGACTGCGAATCCTAACAGGATTCCTAACAGGACACTGCAGATTAAATGGGCACTTAAAGAAAATTGGAACAATCCAAGATGGCACATGTAGATTCTGCAAGGAGGCAGAAGAGACACCAACACATTTACTAACAAACTGCGGAGCTACATTATCCCGCAGGAGGAAATGTTTTGGGATGTATAATGAGACCATAGAAGAGCTTCAACCACTGAAACCAAGCCTATTAATCAAGTTAATAGGACTCACCGATGTGCTTTAGGCAGAGAACGGGGGATACAATAGCTCTTGAAGGGCGCAGTATACCATACCCTGAAAAATTACATCTACATCTACACCTAGGGATGTATTTCTATTTGTGAACATCTCTCGGGAACCAATGTCATCAAAGGCCACCCAAGCTGCCTGCTGTGACGTGTGCGCATGAAATAGTAATGTCCTTAAAATAATGGATTAATCTTTTAAAATTAATAAGGTATAGAGGTGTTTGGCTTTGCCCATACACCATTTTGAAAGAGTAAAACTGCAATGAGCTGAGATCAACAATAATAATAAAACAATAACAATAATAATAAAATCTTCAGTTATTTTAAATCTTTTTTTTTTTGCCAGGCATAGAGAGGTTTCAGTAATGCTGTGTTCTAATGAGAGAAGAGAAGTAGGATGTACTCTTGAGAACTGTAAAATATGTCAGGAAAGGATGTCAGGCTTGTACTTTTCAAGAAGGTGGACATTTTGAACATTTCATTCAATTTTTACAAGCTGGTTGTTTTCTTTTATATTCAGTTTTATACCAAAGAGTCTTTTTCGTTTAATTTGTAATGCTTGCATTATTTTTAATAGATGTTTCAATATTTTAATGACATTTTTAAACGTTAATTTTACACTGGTGCTAACTGACCTTTTAAAAATTATGTACGTGTGTTAAAAGCTTCGCAGAAGGGGAAATGTTTCTGTAAATACCATATCTGTCAATATGTACAAAAAAAGAAAATATTATTTATAATTAGACAAGAACTTTGTAAAATCGTAAAAGTTTATATTCCTGATTTACCCTCAAGAACCATATAGGATATTTTATGTTTTTCCATTGATGTAATCAAATTTACAGTATAATTAATTTTTTAAGAGATTGAGGGCTTTACTGGAAAAAGTTGTGAAATTTGAAGTAACACGAAAAGTGAAATATCTCGAATACACTTGAAAATTAGACTATGGACAATAAAAAATGTTTTAGTCCTTAATCTTAAATAAGACTTTGTTCATAAAACTTCTTAATTGATGAAATTTATTTAAAAAAAGATTACGGATTCTGTTTTTA